AGCTCTAATATCCAGAGACCTCCTACAAGGAAATCAAATCAACAAGGAAAAAAGACAAATGACTCAACAGAAAAATAGCCAAAGGATATAAACAAGCAATCTCCAACAGAAAAAATACAGATAGCTAATAAATATATTAAAAGGTGCTTAACTTTACTAATGATTAGGGAAAAATAACTTAAAGGAATGAGATTGGATTTTTCATCCAAAATGCTGACAAAAATTAAAAAGAATGATAGTGTCCGCCATGCCAGGAGGGCAATTTAGCTCAAACTTTTTGATCTAGCAGTTTTACTTCTAAGGTACTAGACTATAAAAATACTTCTAAACATGCAAAAAATAGATTTAAAAGAATGCTTTTTATAGCACTATCTGTAATAGTCAAAAACTGTTAACAACCTAAAGATCTATTATGTGGAAAGAGTTGAATAAATTATATAGTATACCCTACTATGGAATTCTACTAGCTGTTACAACAATGACTTGCTATTGAGTGGGGGTGGGGGGTAACAAGTTGTAGAATAATACGTATAGGATGATTTCATTTTGTAAAACACACCAGAACACATGCACATAAACAGGAAAAGTACTTGGAACATACAAAGCAAACAAATAATCATGGCTGTCTCTGGGCAGTGGGACTGGAAAAAGAATATTTTCACTTGTTACTTTATATACTACTACACTTTTTACATTTATAATAAGCATGTATTACTTTTTTAACAGAAAAAAATAACATAAGTTCACGTTATGACATTTGGGTGAAAAAAATATAAAGAAACAGAAAAAAAGCGATATGAAATCTCACCACACAGAGGCAATTATTATTAACATGTCAACACTTCTTTTCAGTCCCTGTTATGCATTTTTAACATATTTGAGATCTTAGTCTATATAAGAGGGTTTGTTCTGGGCTTGTTTTTCAATCAATATGATATTGTATTTTCCCTATAGAAAATTTAGAGAACAAAGAGCCACAAGAGAATAAAAAGCACATGTATTCCCACCACCCCAAGATAGCTGCTTAAAAGAACATGAAATTTGAGTGCACAGAATTGGATTATGAGTAATCCATGCACACTGCCATAGATCATGCACACTGTCTCATTGATCCATGCATGGCCCTTTATAATTTTATCCATTACCTTATTCTTTAATTTTCATAATACTCATACAATTAAATAGTCAATGATATGCTCTTAATTATATAATGAATACCCACCCACCCATTCACCCACCAAAACTGAGCACCAGAATACTGATAATAACTTCAGTCCACTTTTACAATTCTCTTCTATTCAAACCCCCTTTCCTCAGCCCCCATGACCATTCTCCTGAATTTTTGATTGATATTCCTTTGCTTTTTAATAAAGTATTTTTTATCCTAAATATATATGTATGCCTAAATAATATAGTGTTTAGTTTTACTTGTTTTTGAATAATATAAAAAGAATATTATATGCAGTCTTCTGGGGCTTATCTTAATTTAACATTATAGAAGTAAAATCTACCCATATTATTATGTTTAGATGTAGTGCATTCATTTCACTGCTGTATAATATTCCATTGTGTAAATATACCACAATTTATCCATTTTCATTTTAGGACTTTTACTACTAACATTTTAGAGTATATTCTTCTAGTAATTTTTCTGAGGACATTTATATAGTTTCCTTTCTAGAAAATTTGAATATTATACGTACTTTCATGTGACCTGTTCCTCTCACTAATGAAATCTTGTGAACATATTCCCATTTCAGTAAATAAATTCTTCTGTAGTATAAACTTAAATGGCTGCATAATATTCCATCATATAGTTACAGTATAATTTTATTTAACTACATCCAGTTGTTGGACATCTGGATTGATTATAAGTTTTTGGCTGTGATAAGCATTATGATGTACATATCCTTTGGCTCAGCAACTCTCGTTTTAAGAATTTATCCTAAGTAATATCTGAACAAATTTGCACACAATCATGTACAGGGCCACCGTGTAGGATGATGCAGTTTGTGTTCTGTACAACTTGTGCAACGCATGTGCTCATCATAGCAGTTTTTATAATACAGAAAAATATTGGACAGAACTTAATGCCCACCAATAAGAGATAAAGTAAATAAGTAATGTATTAAACTTATACTATAGATGCACAGTTACTAACATGGAAAGATGTTTACAATTTATTGTTAAGTGGAAAAAATAGGTTAAATGGCAGTATGATTCCATTTTGTAAAAGAAAATAAACATACCTGTGAAAGAATATGGAAGAACACACACCAAAAACTTTACAGTGATTATCTCTGAGTATTGAGTTTATTTGAGATTTTAATTTTTTCACTTTGCTTACTTATATTTTGAAGTATTTTCAACAGTAAAACTTGATTACATGTATAATAAAAAGATAAATAATGAATTTTTATGCACAATTGTTTAAATATTTTTCCTGAATATAAAATACTTTCACACTGTAAGAACTTTGGAAGAAAAAAGAACATAAAGAAGTAAACAAAAATCACACAGGATCTTACCCACCAAAAGATAATTAGTTCACAATCTCCAGTAAGTTTATGTCTAGTCATTTGTCTCTGATTATATATATTTAAAATAATTGCAATCACATTTTATATAATCTTATATGCTGATTTTTCCCTTAACATTATATAATATGAACATACCATAAATATTTTAATGGAATAATATTCCATCACATGGAAATAGCACATTTACTTAATCATGCCCTTAAAGTTAGACCCTTAAGGTTTTTCTGGTTTTCACTATATCAAATAATTATATGAGGAACATCTTTGTGCATGAACTATCCACATTTTAGATAATTTCCTTGAGTAGATTCATTGAAGTGAAATTACTAAGTCAAAGAGTACCAACATTTTTATATCCCTTGATATATATTGCCAAAACTGTACTTACTATATATTTTAAGGCAGCATAGAGTAGTAGGAAAAAAAAAGAAGTCAAAATATGAGGATCCCATGCCCATCTTTAGTACTTGCTCTTTAACCTCTGATTAGGTAAAATTGATATAAAAACATACATCTTATCTAAGTCACAAGGTTATTTTAATAATCAAATGAGAAAATGGATCCTTCAGTCACCATAAATATTACTTCCTCAGGAATGCTTTCCTTAACTTTCTAGACTCTCATAGCATCCTATACTTACTTTTTCCTTCATAGCCCTACACAGCAACTGATAAATAATTGTTCAATTATTCATACATTGTCTGTTTTCCCCAGATGATTTTAATCTCCATTAAAATATACCTGGCACACAGTTGGCGCTCAATAAATATTTGTTGAATGAATGAATGAATGAAGTGATATCTCACTTTGTAAACTAAATCATTAGACATTTGGAAGGTATTTCTATTATTATTATTATTATTATTCATTTGTATTACCATGTAGATGATTCTAAATCTTTAGAGATTCCTTGCCTAACCATAATTTCATTATGTGGCTGTAATGCTTGTCATGCCAGCCAGAGGCCTGGGTAGCAATGATGCTGGAAGCACCTGGCAGGAGCTGAGACTTGGAGAACCAAGCAGTTCTCTAGGTCAGGATGCTGGGAGTTAAGGAGTTGTAGTTACCATTAGTCGGACACAAGGCAGTGGTCAGGAATCCAGGAGGTCAGTGATATTTGAAGAAGCAGGTGGATCCTGGAGGTCAGAAACAAACTAATGGTAAGTGGTCTAGATAATAAGGTGCAAACTAGAGAATGGTCAGTGATAAGGGATTAAAGTAGATAGGAGCGTTAAATTCCAAGCACCAGTACTCAAAGCGTGGAGCTATGAATATGATTCTAAAGCAAAGGGTACTTGAACTCAGTGCTCCCTTTTATTATTTCTGCCTAAACTGAAAATGGTATCAGGGAGTGTCTGTGCCTAGTCCCATATACATGAGCAAGGGAATGAGAGTAGCTAGCTGAGGAATGAGATCTGTGAATACAAATAGGTTCTGATAGTGACAGGATAAAGTGAGACCATTTGTATATAAGATCTCATAATAGTCTATTCATAAAATGGGAGCAATCAAGCTTCGGATCCTGTAATTCTCATCTTGATTTTCAACAGCAGATGTTATAGCATAGTAGTTAGGATCATGGACTCTGGAAACAGGCTAGCTGGGTTCAAATCCCAGCTCAATCATTTATTAGTTGTCTTTGGACAAGTTACTTCACCTCTGTGTGCCAGTTTCCTCATCTGTAAAACAGGGATGATAGTACCTACCTCAGTGGGTTCTTGTGAAGATTAAATGAGTTGATGCATGCAAGGACCTTAGAACAGTGCCTGGACGTAGCAAATGCTATGTTAAGTGTCATTATTATTATTATTAATTAGTCACAAAAGACCAAAAATTGATGTTATAAAAAATGGATAAATACATTGTATGTTTATGGATAATAAACTTTATCTAAAACAATAAACAGTATCTAATCAGAAATTTTTCTCATTAAAATAAGAATTTCACTTGCACCTAAACATACTTGACTATATAAAAACTATAAGCATTTGCAAAGTATCAAAATTTTATCACAGCAATCCCATCTGTGTGTTTATTCTATACAAGATGTTTTATGAACACTATCTTTAAAAGTTGCAAAGAATAAGTACACATTTCCTAATAGCAAAAAAACACTATTAAGCTGCAGTACAGTTGATCCGTAAGATCTGGTCTACAAGAAGGAATACTCTATTAAATTTTTTGAAGCTACTTCTACTAGAAGCAGGAATATTTGAGTTGCAAGACCTGTCTGTTTAAAGATCTGAACATGGATAGGCTCGGCCTTGGGAAGACTAATTTTGAAAAAGTCTGGACATGGGGAAAGGTCAGAACACCTGGACTGCGGAACATGTTAGAATACCTGGATATCGTAGACACTGGAAGACCTGAATGTTAGAAGACCGGTACACTGGAGACGTTGGAAGACGTGGAATTTGAGCCCGCAGTTGGAAGACTGGGCAGTTGTTGGAAGACGTGGAGATGCTGGAAGACGTGGAGACGCTGGAAGACGCGGAGACGCTGGAAGACGCAGAGATGCTGGAAGATGCAGAGATGCTGGAAGACGTGGAGATTCTGGAAGACGTGGAGATTCTGGAAGACGTGGAGATGCTGGAAGACATGGAGATGCTGGAAGATGAGCAGACACTGGAAGCCCTGGAGATGCTGGAAGACCTGGAGGTGTAGGAAGACACGGGTTTTCTGGAAGACGTGGCTTAGTTGGAAGACGTGGATTTTCTGGAAGACATGGCTTTGCTGGAAGACATGGATTTTCTGGAAGACGTGGCTTAGTTGGAAGATGTGGATTTTCTGGAAGACATAATTCTGTTGGAAGACGTGGGTAGGCTGGAAGACATGACTTTGATGGAAGACACAGCTTTGTTGGAAGACAAGGATTTGCTAGAAGACATGGATTTCCTGGAAGACATGGATTTTCTGGAAGCCACAGATTTAATGGAAGACATGAATTTTCTGGAAGACTTGGATCGGCTGGAAGACCTGGAGGTCACTGGAAGACATGGATTTCCTGGAAGACATGGCTTTTCTGGAAGACATGGATTTTCAGGAAGACCCGAATTGTCTGGAAGACTTGGATTGTTTGGAAGACGTAGATTTTCTGGAAGACCTGGAGGTTACTGGAAGACATGGATTTTCTGGAAGACATGGATCTCTAGGAAGACATATATTTTCTGGAAGATCTGGATTTAGTGGAAGACATGAATTTTCTGGAAGACGTGGCATTATCAGAAGACCTTGATTTAGTGGAAGACATAGATTTTGTCTGGAAGATGCGGATTGATTGGAAGACTCGATTTGGTGGAAGATATGGATTGGTTGGAAGACTTGGATTTTTCCGGAAGACGTGGATTGACTGGAAGATCTGGATTCGGTGGAAGACGTAGATTTTTTGGGAAGACGTAGACTGAGTGGAAGACCTAGATTTCTCTACGGAAAACATAGATTGACTGGAAGACCTGGATTTTTCTGGAAGACATAAATTAGCTGGAAGACCTGGACTGACTGGAAGACTTTGATTTGGTGGAAGACTTTGATTTGGTGGAAGACATAGATTTTTCTGGAAGACGTGGATTAGCTGGAAGACCTTGAAATTGTTGGAAGACGTGGATTGTCTGGAAGACCTTGAAACCATTGGAAGACATGGATTTTTCTGGAAGACATGGATTTCCCTGGAAGATATAGATTTTGTGGAAGACCTGTAATTGTTGGAAGACTGGATTTACTGGAAGACATGGATTGCCTGGAAGATGTGGATTGTCTGGAAGACGCAGATTGTCTGGAAGACTGGGATTAGCTGGAAGACCTTGATGTTGTTGGAAGACTTGAAATTAGTTGGAAGACTTGGAGTTGCTGGAAGACCTGGAGTTCTTGGAAGACCTTGACACTGGCACCATTGGAAACCCTGGACATTGGAGACATTGGAAGCACAGGATGTTGGAGACATTGGAAGGCCTGGATTTGAGGACATCGGTTATTCTGGACATTGGAGACTTTGGAGGCCCTGAACGTTGGAATTCATGGATTTTGGAAGCCATAGATACTGGAAACCCTGAATACTAGAGACATTGGAAGCCTTGTACCTTGGAAGCCCTAAACATTGGAAGATATGGACAATAGAAGATGTAGACATTTAGAAATCCTAAAATTGGAAGCCCTGGATATTGGGAGACATTGGAAAACCTGGATATTGACATATTCATGTTAAAAGACATAGAATTTGGAAGATGTAATTTTCATGATGCTGGAAGTCAAGGATGTTGGCAGCACTGGACATTAGCATACCTGGACATTAAGAGATCAGCATGTTAAGAGACCTAGTCATTCAGACATTGGGGATGTTGGAACATCTGAGTATTGAAAGACCAGGTTCTTAAAGATATTGACTTGGGCACTGGAGGAACTGGTGATAATAAGACATTGTTAAATCAGGATTTAGGAGACACTAAAAGTTGTAGGAACTGAATGATGTAAGTGCTAGAAGATATTGGAAGAGCTGGACTTGGACACAATGAACTACATGGACTCTAGAAGACCTGTATATAGGAGACATTGGAGGATTGGAAACATAGAATAATTGAAAGTTAGAACTCTGGACCCTGAAAGACAAGACCTAGAACTTAAAGATTGATTGTTGAAGATATTAGAAGACCTAGACTTTTAATGATCCCAATACTGAGGAGATTAGAAAACACTGGCATTGGAGATGCTGTAGGCCAGAGAGTGGAAGACATGGATGTTGTAACATTTAGAAGATCTGGCAGTTGGAGATGTTGGAAGCTATGGAGCTCAAAAGACCTGATGTTAGAGACACTGAATTACTGAAAAGCCTAATCTTAGAATTATTGCAAGGTTGTGTTGAAAGATATTGGCAATGTTGAAAGACTCTCATATTAGAACCTGATGTTACATTAAAAGACATATCATAAGGCTACTCTAATAGTCTTTATGACTATGGCATCTCTTTCACTAAAAAGCAAAACACAGGGAAAGGACATCTTAGGAAGATGATAAAGAGGAAGCAGGGAAATTCTAGTAAAGGCAAGTAGTTTGAATGGGTTGGAATCTATCTTCATAGTCTCACTGAACTGGCCTTCTGGATCTGTATTGGTTGACAAGATGGGAATGAGGAATTATCAAAGAATAAGCAATATAAAAGGCTAGGGGAACTACTTGGCTTTAGATCAGAGGTCAGCAAAGGTTTTCTGTAAAGGATCAGATAGTAAATATTTAAGATTTTGCAGGCCACACTCTTTCTGTTACAACTACTCAACTCGGCCATTGACAATACTGCCACAGACAATACGTAAATGAGTGGGCATGGCTGTGTTGCAGTAAAACTTTATTTAAAAAAAAAAAAAACAGTTGGGCCAGATTTAACCCAAGGGCCTTAGTTTGCCAGGCCCAGCTCTAGATGCCAAATCTAGGGTATAATAAACTTAAGTACATTCTAGGCTAGCATTCACACGCAAGAGAATGGATAGAACAATATGAAGCCCAGTGGCAAATAAAGATATTATGTACATGATGACACTCAAGAGATGAGGATGGCAAGAACCTAACAATGGAGTTTAGATCTCCACTTAATTGTCTCAGGGGCCCAAACAAGAAGATCTATATTCAGAGCCAAAATTAAGTGGGTAACATTCAGGACCCCAGCCAAGTGGGCTAGGGTTCAGTAAGAATGCCCTGATTTAGTAGGCTGGAAGCTTAAGAAGAAACTTAAAGAAGAAACTCACCCTTACAGACTGAAGTTTTCCTGCCAGGACTAAGCACCACTCACCCAAAGAGAAAGAGAGTCCCTAGCCCAGGACGGACAAGAAGTCAGTGGCAAAACCCTTGCTCTAAGTCCCATGTTCTTATCATTCTGGCAGTCATCATACCACTGCCAATTAATCAAGAGCTAACTCTAGGTGTTTGCAGTGATGGAGGAGAACAGGAAGGAAACTACAGCTTGGTAGGCTCATCTCAGGGACTCTGGCTTCAGGTAATAAGTCTAATTTCTGATCTTACCCACCACAGCATTAAGTGACAAGCTTAAGAGATCAGGGTTGAGCTGTAGGCTGAAAATCCTTAGTACTGAATCAGATAGGGCTAAAGAAGACAGGGACTATCACATATATTGCATGAAGGGGAACACTGGCAGACAAAACTGATTAAGGTACACTGGGCCTGGGCCATGGTTTAAAGGTTAAGTAGTGGAATATATAGACAATGGGCAATCACTAAAGATTTTTGAACAAGGAAGTACCAGGATCAGAATTGTGCACAAGGAAAGTTAGTCAGCAAGGTGCTGAATACCAAAGACTACTAGATATATATACTAGAACACCAGACTCCAAGTGAAAGCGCTTAAAGGGTTGGGATGTGAGTTATGAGGCCACTACAATCATCCAGGTTAAGTGGTAGCAGGGGCTTGAATTAAGGCAGTGGCAATTTGTTGCTCAGCAGACACAGCATTAGAATTATGATGAATACTCAGCATTCTGAATACCACTGTTTTAAGCTTCTTGAATGCCATCACAGAATACATGAAATACAAAGAAGGTCAGAAGCTAGTTATGAGGAACTGTCGTCGCCTAGCAAGATTACTTAGACATCCAATTTCTCTCAAAGGCAGCTGAGCTAATAACTTGGTGGTTTAAGCAAAGTAGGTCCTATATAGCTTTATCTTTAGCTCCTATTAACACAGAGTGACTCAATTATCTTAAAAGTGGAACCAAGTGGATAGATTATTTTCTAGAGAATAGGCATACATCCACGTGAAAAAAAGGTCATTATCTCCAATCACTATATAAATAAATATCATGGAAGGATAACCTCACTATAAACACAGCATATAGAATCACTGCAGGTCAAGGCGAAACATAGGGACACAGGAATTATTGTTTTAGGTATCTCTCACAAGCAGAGAAAAATATTAAAAAGCAATTTTTATTCCTTCTCTCTTCTTAAAACCATCATGCATACCTTATTTTGAGGGAAATTAGGTAAAATATTAAAATTTTGCAAAGACAGGAGTAAACTATCATATTCTGTTCAATAATGCTTATTCATGTTATAATAATAATAATAGCAACAATTTATTGAGCGCTTACTATGTGCCAGGCACTGTACTAAGCATTTCATATAATCTCATAGCAATCCTATAGTGCAGGTATTTTTGACCCCGTTTTACAGATTAGAAACCCAAGTCTGAAATGGTTAAAAAACATGTCCACAGTCACATAGCTGGTAATTAGCAGGGACGGGATTGAAAAAGCAGGTCCTCGTGCTGACTTCTCACACCCCAATAGCCCCAGGGTTATCCTGCCAGGACTGAGCACCACTCACCCAAAGAGAGGCAGTCCCCAGCCCAGGGCAGACAAGAAACCAGTGACGAAGCCCTCATTCTAAGTCTCCCATTCTTCTCATTATGGAACTCATCATACCACTGCCAATTAATCAAGAGCCAACTCTAGGTTTTTGCAATGATGGGTTAGTTATGTCTTTGGCTTTATATAGTAATGCAAGAGAGATGAAATGCAATATCTCAAGCATATTAGATTCATATTTAATTTCTCAGTATTTGTTATTCATGTTAATGAAAGTACTATTTATCCTTTCGTCTATTTTCTATTTGATTTTATGGTTCCCAAGAACATATACACTCTGTTCATAGCACATCATATTTATTTCTGAATTATTAGATAAACAACCATAACACACTGACATCAAAGGTCATTAAAAGGTAATACTATGTAAAGTTCAATGATCAATGTATTTCACAGCACAAACATGGTTCACATACTCTTTTAGACTATACACGCTGGAGAAGCCCTTTATTAGCATTCAGGTGGCGGCAGCTATGTAATCCAAATGTGCAGTTTAAAAGAGCCTTCTTTGCATTTTGAACTTAAAAGATTTTCAACAAACAAAAGGCTCTTTTTAAATGTAATGCCCGTTTTCTAATATTTTCTACAAATTTCAGCAACCTGGGCTGCCCTTTCTCCCCATCCTCTTTTTCTTTTTCTTTTTGCCACTGGTTAAATATATCTGTAAAAAAGGAAATTTCTGTGCACTTCATAATATTGAACACAAGAATCTACCTGAACCATTTGACAACAGAAAGATTCTTTCTACTCAAATTGTGCATTAAATATACTAAATTTCAGCTTTTCAATTTTGGGGACTATTCTTAACTTAAAAAAGAAACAAGAAACACCCATTTACATGGTAGTGTTGTCATTAACTTCTATTTCTACCACTTAGCCTATACCAACTTTCACATCCTCCTGTAAGTTATGCTGATCTGTTAAACTAAACCAT